TTGACCTGAGCAAACGATGTCCCCGTCTCCTTTACATTCAAACTGCCTCACTGCCTATTGCCTACACTGCCTCCTCCATTGAGGACTTGCAAAACGATGATACGAACTTTGCTTTTGCAAAACGCATGTGTATCCATACTACATGTTCATCCATCCTATATATGTGCCGATGTTATACACACCATCCTATATATGTGCCGATGTTATACACACCTTTATCATTGCTATATCTCCCTCGGGCTTATATGAGGTCGGCTTCACTGCAATCTGCCTCACACGGTTACGGCGATCGGTGCCCTTGGCCGATCAGCAGATTCATCGTGCCATTTTCCCTTACGCCAACCAGCTGTCGCCAAGCACGTGCAGTATGGTGTGTGGATAAAGATGTTTTTATTGGTCGGGCGGGACAGGTTTCACAATCGTCGTTGCCGTTCGGCTCCGGACCACGAACAGATCACTTGTCGCGTGGGCTGGTCTTCGGAGGCGAGCTCAGCTTCAGGTCAAGCGAGGAGAGGGCAAAGATGGAAGCAAGCAAACAGTAGCACCTGACATGATTGCAATTCTCAACAAATTAAGGACTGTCTTTTCCCGAAACATCATTGCACAGCACTCATGCTTCGGGTAGCTTTGTGTTTTCACCTAACGTTTAAGACACTGTGTAAGTGCCCATGCCTGACACAAGTGCCTATTCTATTCAGGTACTCACTTATGCACGTATATAGCCGTGCGATAGATCGACATAAAATAACATAACAAATGAATTCACACATACATACACACTTTGTATCATATACATTACCCCCGGGGCTCAGGGCTGACCCCGGCGGGATTAAGGGATGACGTAAACAAGGAGGGTCCATCGGGATGCTTTGTATGCTGCTTTTTTCGGGTGGATCTTATTGCATACCATTTGGGCCTATGGCTGGCAATCTCCATTTGTTCCGCAGTGTCAAAGTTACGCATCAAATCTTCGGAAGGAGAAGCCCAGCGGGGAGGAGGGTCCACCGAGAGGTAGAGCCCAGCAGGGAGAAGGGTCCATCTGGAGGGAGAGCCCAGCGGGGAGGAGCGTCCACCAGGAGGGAGAGCTCAGCGGGGAGGAGGGTCCATCGGGAGGGAGAGCCCAGCGGGGAAGAGCGTCCACCAGGAGGGAGAGCTCAGCGGGGAGGAGGGTCCATCGGGAGGGAGAGCTCAGCGGGGAGAAGGGTCCATCGGGAGGGAGAGCCCAGCGGGGAGTAGGGTCCATCGGGAGGGAGAGTTCAGCGGGGGTCCATCGGGAAGGAGAAGCCCAGCGGGGAGGGAGGGTCCATCGGAAGAGAGAGCTCAGGCGGGGAGGAGGGGGGTCCATCGGGAGAGAGAGCGGCAGCGGGGAGGAGGTCCACCAGGAGGGAGAGCTCAGCGGGGAGGAGGGTCCATCGGGAAGGAGAGCTCAGCGGGGAGGAGGGTCCATCGGGAAGGAGAGCTCAGCGGGGAGGAGGGTCCATCGGGAAGGAGAAGCCCAGCGGGAGGCGGATCCATCGGGAAGGAGAAGCTCAGCGGGGAGGAAGGGTCCATCGGGAGGGAGAAATTAACGGGGGGGGGGAAGAGCCCTGCAGGAGGAGGAGTCACCAAGGCGGGGACCACTGGGGAGCAGAACCCGCGGGGAGGGTCCCATGGGGGCCCACCGGGTAGAAGCCTTTGGGAAAATCCACCGGGAAGAACTCACCAATGGCCCATCAAAAGGGAGAAAAATCATCCCACCCGAGAATTTTATCCCGCTGGGAAGATCACCCCACAAGCGAGATCATCCCACCGGGAAGATCTCTCCAACGGGGAGAATCACCTCATTGGGGGGAATCATTCCACCGAAACTACCACCCCATCGAGCGCGGTGGAGCCGTTCCGAGTGCACCAGGGGACATCATTAAATGCGATGCACCACAACGACCAGTCCACCAATATAAATAATTGGTGGAAGAAAGACAACCCCACGCTCCTGTTTTTTTTCGGGTTTAGGGATTATCATGATGAATTATTGACACTCAGTATACCAATTGGTGATGGTTAAGAGATGTAGCAGTGCTAGGCAACTACTATATTGACGGCACTCAACATCTCGAGCTGCGCTAGTCCTCAAGAGTCACAGGAGTTCAGAAGCATTTTGCAAAATATAACACATGAGAAGGAAGGCACGTCAATCCAGAAAATGTTTCCGAACTGTTCAGACACTAGCCACTAAAAGCTGCTGAAGAGATGAACCATCCATGGCGTTTGGAGCTCTAAAATAAATCATTGATCAGTGTAAATCAGTATGTGGGTTTGCAGTTTGGACTTTTAGTATCAATGTCAGCACCACTTCGGAACATTTTCAGAGCTCACGTGCCCTATTGCTCATGCTTAAGAGCACCTGCGGTATTTTTTCTGAACGTTTCTGGAACCTTGCCACTCTAGAAGATGAGTGCAGCTCTAAATAGTGAGTACCGTCAATATTATTGTCATCTAGCACTGCGGATTCGTTTCAATACCTCTCAGTATACTGAAGGTCACTACCTCAGCATAAGAACTTTTTGAACTCATAATAAAGATAACTACACTAGGCGGTTCGTCTGCGCGCTGCACCCCCCCCCCCCCCCCTTTGGTTTTGGGTGTGCCAGATATCCTCAGAAGGTTGTCCTCATCCGTCCGTGTATGCTATGACGTCATTATATCACTTATTTTATATCACGGTTCACGGAAGACAAGCCAACCCGAGGGGTAGGACGAAACCACCGTGAACCAGTCGTGTGTTTATCATTGTTCTGGCGTGCTTGTAAACAGAACTAGTACATGACCCAGTGTAGTTATACATATATATATATATATATATATATATATATATATATATATATATATATATATATATATATATGTATGTATGTATGTATGCATGTATTCTCACTTGCAAAATGTGCCACAAATGAAGCAAAGTTGGCCTGTCTAAAGAGCACAGCACATGCTACGGGATTAACGCCTCATGAGATTCAGCAGGGCTCAGGAAAATGACTTCTTTTGGCAATGTTTTTTTCACTAGACCTGTCTCCGTTCCATAAAAAAACTTTTAAGCATTGCTATGCGGCAATCCCTCATTAGTCTCCTAACCGCTGAACGACGCTTCAAATAGAGTTGCGCATATACAAGTAAAGTTATGCATACAAAAGCCTGCCCGAAAATAACAGCAGGTTTGACATGCAAACCACGTTTGACTTTCTTGTGCTGATTGATGAAGCCTATGCCTTATCATATGGGTTATGTCGAGGCCCCTCATACCAGCCAACCATAGTGCGAAGTTAGACACTGTAACAGGAGGTGTCATCCATTTCAAATCACATAATTTGGCCAACGGCGGCACTATGCTGTTGACGACTCTGTAGTTATTCGCTCATCGCTGGATTCCACGGTGGTAGCGATTAAAATTCGCACTGATGCTGCTACCCTGTACCAGGGATCAAGCAAATGCTCATCTCTGACTGTAGAAAACAAGCAGAAACTCATCGCCGATTGTGCTGTTAAAACGCACTGTACTGTTCACGATGTGGCTTAAAAGGCATGCGATTTACTGTAAATGTTTTGTCCAGTTGCTACCTCATTCATTTGTGGAATAATTTTACCTCTCACATGATGTGTGCCTCGATTTTGTTGTCTTATTGAGTACCGTGCAGTTGAAATAAGTATCTATCGACCTAAGTCAATCTTACACATATCTTACATATAAAAGACAACTTCATAACATAAAACAAACATTTTTACTCCCCAAGCGAGTTCAGCTGAGCCATCGCTGTAGATCTCCATTCAGCTAATGTAGTTCATAATGGCTGGTATCGGCCTGACATTAAACTACACGACTTAGAGGCCCTGCTCCTCGTGCTTCCCATATTTTGCCACCCCTTGAGCTGTTCTGAGTAAACCGTACGCACCACTTAACCACGGAGCGCATGTAAGTCACCTTGTCGGCCGGCCTGTGTGGTGGGGGGCAGTCGGTCGAGGTTCTGGGGCTTGAAGTGCACCTGTCAGGCCGATCAGGTGGACGCGAGAACCTACAGCGAATACTTGTGCCTGGAGCACGTCACCCTAACATAGAACAGCACATAGCATAGGAGCGCTGGACGCAGGCGTCCGAAATAAAACACGTTACCATCTAAGCTCGCCCAGAACCGAAAAGTATCAGAGATAAGCGCGGCAACTCTGACTAGTTCCTTGCGCCAGATAGTACAAAAAAGATCCTACACCCGCGCAGCGACGGACTTCAACCAATGGTTATTGAGAAGGATGCTTCATGCGAAGCAATCAAGCTGAGCACGAAGGAAAAAAGCTTCTTCTCCCTTTGCGATAAACACATCGCAGATTGCGAGCTGAATAAAAAACAACATATTTGTATGCGGTGCGATCGGTATGCAAATGCAAGCTGTGCAAGGACACCACATATGTGAGTTACAATTTTAATTTGTTTTAGGAACTCAGCACCAGTCATGTTTGTCAAGGTTTTTGCATTATGAAGGACAGCTTCGTATACTCACAGAATATTCCTTTCACCACTCTAAGGACTAGTATGAGGGACATGAGCAAAAAAGTGTAAAACGTGTACACCATTAGCCAATCGGCGAGGAAGATTTGGTTTTACAATAATCCTGTTCGCTATCTACAAGTGTTTACTGGCTTGCTTCACACATCGCTAGAGGTGTGTCCTCGAAGCCGACTGGAGAAACCTGTCGCACTCTATGGGCGAGTTGTGTTTGCATTATTTCTGAATGCATTTAAAACAGCTCATAGACTTTCCTGACCGGTCCTACCCCTGAATACCATGACACCTGATGGAAACCGAGTGCTTATTACCAGGGACGCATCTGGGACGACACACGTAATCTACAAACTGTAAGTTCGTCCGTCTGTCCGACATGTAATATTTAGTACACTGGATACACAGTATTCGTCATGTCCAACTTTTCTGGATGTTGATCTGGAATGCAGTGAAAGCGTTTCAATTCCATGTAAGTGGTTGTATTCTGTTTGACGAATACAAACCATTTCGCCACATTATTCGTATACCGAATCGGAGATCGAGTTAGCCCTGGCATTAGTTAGGACATCTGAAAAAATTGTCAGTGCCAAAGCAACATTGAATTCACATCATGAAAGGACCCGTGAACTACATAGCTGCATACCCAATAAGTAAACATGGAGGGTATTTGTGATGCCTATATAAATACATCGAACGCGACAGTCACCAATAACGTGCACAAGGGTATATGGCATCAAAGCTGCTCTGCAAGGGAAAGTGGGCATAGCTAGCTAGGGGCGTAAGCGGAATTTTGCAAACGGGGAGCGGTCGCAAAAAAACTGAGTCTAGCCTACGAGCGCGCACAACTTGCTAGTCGTTAAACAAAAATGCATGTTATCGAAGCGGACAAACGGGCCTCATGGAAGCACACTCCAAGAACTCCTCAAAGCCTCGTAGAAAACTGCGAGCTCTCTGCGTCCTTCGACGATCCGGCTGCGAAGAGGACGTTTTTGGTCCAGCTGTTGGCGCGGTCCGGCTCGTCCTCAGCAAACGCCGGATTGAGCCGGCCATTGGCCACTCCTCCCGGCACGTCCTCCTGCCCAAACTCCAGACGGGTCTGGACTGTGTCCTCCTCTGGGCCGAAGATCATGCCGGTCTGGCTCCTGTCGTCGTCCGTCCCGACCGCTCTCTGCGCTCGGACCTTGCCTTCCGACGACGTCACTCCGTTGAGACGACGCGTCCGGGGCTTGGAGGCTCGGTCCTGTGTGGCCGGAGACATGGGGCAGCGGTCAGGGACGAGGTGCTAAACCAACACGACGTCCACCAGCGGCAGCGGGCGGCGTGACACCTACCAGCGGCAGCGGGCGGCGTCACGTCCACCAGCGGCAGCGGGCGGCGTGACACCTACCGGCAGCGGGCGGCGTCACGTCCACGGGCGACAGCGGGCGGCGCGACACTTACCAGCGGCAGCGAGCGGCGTCACGTCCACCAGCGACAGCGGGCGCGTAACACTTACCAGCGGCAGCGAGCGGCGTCACGTCCACCCGACAGCGGGCGGCGTAACACTTACCAGCGGCAGCGAGGGCGTCACGTCCACCAGCGACAGCGGGCGGCGTAACACTTACCAGCGGCAGCGGGCGGCGCCACGTCCACCAACGCAGCGGGCGGCGCGACACTTACCAGCGGCGGCGAGCGGCGTCACGTCCACCAGCGGCAGCGGCGGCGCGACACTTACCAGCGGCGCGAGCGGCGTCACGTCCACCAGCGGCAGCGGGCGGCGCGACACTTACCAGCGCGGCGAGCGGCGTCACGTCCACCAGCGCAGCGGGCGGCGTAACACTTACCAGCGGCAGCGGCGGCGTCACGTCCACCAGCGGCAGCGGGCGGCGCGACACTTACCAGCGGCGGCGAGCGGCGTCACGTCCACCAGCGGCAGCGGGCGGCGCGACACTTACCAGCGGCGGCGAGCGGCGTCACGTCCACCAGCGGCAGCGGGCGCGCGACACTTACCAGCGGCGGCGAGCGGCGTCACGTCCACCAGCGCAGCCCGGCGTAACACTTACCAGCGGCAGGGCGGCGTCACGTCCACCAGCGGCAGCGGGCTCTGACATCTATCCAGTTAACGCCACTCGGGCGCATATTGATACCAAGTCAACACTTAAAGTTTCACTTTGGTAACGCCCTTGGTTTTGTGGAACTCCGAGCATTTCTTGTTCATTAACAGCGTAGCGCTTGGCTTTGAGCGCTTGTTTTAAATATTTCGATGAATTTCAGTTTTTATCTTCAAAATTAAACTGTTTCTACGAACTATGTCGGACACAAGATTTAAGCAGGTTAAATTACATATCTGCCATTTGAGACAACAATACCGCTGACTCAACTTCCATTATCAGTATTCAAACAGGATGTACGAAAATACCTTCCACGGTCAAATCGTTTTAGCATATAAACGTTCACGCAAACGAGCGCTCTGCAAACGGATTGTCAGCCTTCAGAGCACCCCGCTGGAGGAGTGTCAGTCTGCCTAGAGCTCCGCTGGATGAGCCTCAGCCTGCCGAGCGCTCCGCTAGAAAAGCGTCAGCCTGACCAGCACTCCGTTGGAGGAGTGTCAGCCTACCGAGCGCCCTGCTGGAGGAGCGCCAACCTGCCCAGTGCTCCACTGGAAGATTGTCAGCCTGCCGAGCGCTCCGCTGGAACAGCGTCAGCCTGCCGAGTGCTCCGTTGGAGGAGCGTCAGCCTGCCGAGGCGTCACCACCTACCTCGATCATCGGTACGGCTTTTGCCTCGTTCACCAGAGAGGGCCGGCGGACGCAGGGCGGTAGCGGCTGGCACTGTTGCAGCTGTGCCATGGCCAGCGCCCTCTCCGAGGCCGGCAGGCCGGCGGCCAGCTTCGTCAGGATCTGGACGGGGCAAAGGGCGTCATTCTAACTGGTCGGCGGTCGCTGAAGTTCAGCAACTGACGAATGGAAGGGCAGTTACATCGGCATCTGTACCTTCTCAGAATATCTGGCTGGCCACAACATCTCCCACCCCTGGCACAAATGGCATGAGGCACCAATGGCGACCGATTGTCCTGGCCTGCAGTCGACCAGAAACCGGCATGGGTATCATGAGCGCAAACTCAGTGCCATCTCTCGCGAGACTGGTAGCAGGCACGGGGTCTCATATGGCCACTTACACAGGCTTTGTCAGTGGTGAGCCCCGAAAGGAATGCCATCTGCGCATGAGACCGAGCGAGGAGCAGAGTTTCGTGAGCCTCCGGTTTGGTCGGATCGCTCTCCCGATCAGCAATGTCCCTTCGAACCTCGGTTTTAAGGGCAGTTTAAAAGGTGGAATAACTTTGTGGGCATCCGGGCTGGTCTCGGGCGTCGAGACTTCCAGCTCAAGAAACCCAACCAGCATCGTGCTTGAGCTCGAGCGGAGCTCCCAGACAGGGCGGTCATAAGACCTATTCCTGGCTGACGGCAGCGCAGCACATACCGGGCAAGAGGAGATGTGAGAATACGGTGTGAAGTGGTGAAGGAGGATAAGAGCTTTTTGAACGCTTTTTGGCCCGCGCTGTGTGGCGCAGCACTGCAGTCCGACCCAGACCCCGGCTCCCACACACCACACTCACGTCACTGCGTCCCATGTGGATGATAGACTGGACGATGTGACCGATGCCCCGCTGCCGTCCGTATCGACGTCCGCGGTCCACGTATAACCTGGCAAGGGACGCGCTCCGTACGATCAGGTAAGGAAACCAGCGGAGCAGGGTGGCATTATTTGGAATCTCTGCTTGAAGTTATAACCGCTGCGCGGCGTTGTAAAGCTAGGTTAAAGACGGTTGAAAAGCGGAAATTCCGAGCAATTGAAATAGCTGAAAAAATGATCGTTATACTTTCTCTCCGTTGGTTTTTCACATGTATCTACACTTTCGGTGCTTTCAGTTGAATGTCGTGCGTGTTTGAGGTGTTACAAGCCCAAACACAATGTGAATGTACCTATGCCTTTTATATCCAATGCAAATTGATTGCTTCAAAGGGGTCGAAGTACTTTTGCGCGCGAAACAAACATAGCATTGCGCCGACAGACGCAAACGGCACACAACATCGACACCAAAAATTATGTGGCGAACGACTGTTTGATATGAAAATTTCACCAGTGGAGGATGCAGGATTTCGTTAAGGGTGAAGGGGTTACGCAGCATTGGGTCCCCTCCCCCTGGAACTTGAGCCCCCTTCAAAAACATCGGACCATTAAATTTCAAGATTCTTACCTATGCTATTTGCATAAAGGAGCCCAACTAACTGTGCGCGACTTCACAAAACCAGGCGTGCTACGTTGCACATGCATGAAGCTTGTTCATGTTCTCCCGTCAACGTGAATCCTGTCATTTTGAGGCGCAATGTTTCGGCAAAATATGCCAAATGAACTAGAGTTGACTGCTAAAAAAATATCAAACCAAGCTCGAACGTCATTCCTAGCTTATTTGTGGCTAGCCGGCTGATCGATGTGATCGGTGCCCGGCATGCCAACAAAGAGGCTCCCGTCAACAGCACGGGGTCCTCAGAGCAAGTGAGAAGAACCCAAAACCAGCGTGGTAGGCCCATAAACAATCGAGAATGCCCCGGCAGACTAACATATAGAACTCGAGTCAGGGCACAGGGAACATTGAGCAAAGGGAAATCGCCTTGGACCAGTGTACATGAATTAATGCCCCTGGGGAATCAAGAGTGCCCCGGCACGCTAGCAGAAAAAAACCCCGACAACGGTGTAGGGCCTTCCGAGCAAAAGGAAAACAAATCAAGGACAACATGCTTTTCAACGATCGGATTTATCGTGCCAGTGGACATATACGGCCCGCAGACAGCGTGGGGTCTCTGGACAGCGCAATGGGCCTCGAAATTTGACAATGGCCACCCTCTCAATCAATATGCAATTACTTGTGTCTGTTCATAGACCCTTCGCTCTCGCTTGAGACCGTTATTGGTCTCTTGGTAGCCCAAAGGTGTTCAATTTTGTAGTGTTTCGTGCTAAGAACAGCGTCTGCTCGGCCGACTTTGGTTCCTTTGGAGCCTATGGTCCCCTGTGGGACCCAAGGGGGTGGGGCATGGCTCCGTGCCCCCACCCCCCTCTTCCACTGTATCTGACCTGATGGGGTTCGCAAACTGCAGCTGGCAGTGAACGGTGCGAGCGGGAGGGATGCTGCTGTCGACAGTCTCAGCTTCCTGGAGAAGAAACTCCAGCTCGGTCTCCACGTCATCGCCTGAGAGTTTCAAGATATCAGTCAAAGGATAAAGCAAAGAGCAGATACGAGCTGTAAAATGTGCTCCAATGTTTTGAAGCAACCTTACGGACAAGGTTCACAGGAAGTGACAATAGATTGTATCATTTAAATTTATCAGCTTCCTTCCTACCGTAACGTTCCGTGAAGCCCAGTTTTTAGACATAAACATCAAAACGCTTGTGCATCATGGTACGGAGCCACATCCCGAAAAAGGAAAACCCGATGAGCATCTGGATGTATTCTGGGACCATTCAGCGGATTTTACATGGCAATTAGCTCAATCTTACGCAACGAAACAACTTGAGACAGCGTAAAGCCTGTACAGCGTTTTCAGTGGATTGAGCCATGGCACTCTGTAGTTTTCTGACCTGCCCGGCGCGGAGGCCAGACACCGGCCACGGCGAGAAGAACAGCTATATGAAAGCTATAACAGCCCTTCCGATCCCGGCTCATGCCTGTGCCAACCGCGCACGTGGCTGGTGGGTGTGAGCGGCGTTACCGTGTTGCCGAGAGAGCAACCGGCTTACGTGAGCGGATGGGGCAGGGGCTGTGTCCGGCCGGCCTCAGCAGGCAGCCAACTTACGTGAGCGGACGGGGCACGGGCTCTGTCCGGCCGGCTTCAGCAGGCAGCCAACTTACGTGAGCGGACGGGGCACGGGCTCTGTCCGGCCGGCCTCAGCAGGCAGCCAACTTACGTGAGCGGACGGGGCACGGGCTCTGTCTTCCGCCGGCCTCAGCAGGCAGCCAACTTACGTGAGCGGACGGGGCACGGGCTCTGTCTGGCCGGCCCTCAGCAGGCAGCCAACTTACGTGAGGCGGACGGGGCACGGGCTCTGTCTGGCCGGCCTCAGCAGGCAGCCGACTTACGTGAGCGGACGGGGCCGGGCTCTGTCCGGGCCGGCCTCAGCAGGCAGCCAACTTACGTGAGCGGACGGGGCACGGGCTCTGTCCGGCCGGCCTCAGCAGGCAGCCGACTTACGTGAGCGGACGGGGCGCGGGCTCTGCCCGGCCGGCCTCAGCAGGCAGCCGACAGTGCGGCCTCGCTCTGGCGTCAGCACCAGACGAATGCCGCCCAGCTGCGTGGCCAGCAGCAGCAGCTCCTGGGCCCACTGCTGGCCCTGCTCGGCGCGCAGCTCCAGCTCCGGACCCGCGCTGCCCATCTGCCGAACAATCGCACGCGGTCGACGAGGTGTAGCGATCGCGCTGCAGCGGAGTCCGGTCCGCTGCTGAATGTTTTGCCATGCGACCGGCTGGTTTGGTGGTAAGCATCGCAGTGCCCCGTGTCGATTGTAGTAGCAAAACTGACTCACGGCGGGAGGCGAGTCTCAAAACTCGCCACCATTTGGTGAACACACATCGCAGCTCCATGGGATAGGACACACCGAAACGAGGAGGGGCGGGGAGTAGAGGAGGGAGGTGGGTTGGGGTGGGAAGGGAAAGAAAGGAGGAGGGAAAGAAGGAAGAAAGAGAGAACGGAAGAAGAGGAAGGAGGGAGAAAACGATGGGACGAAAGGGACGATGGTCGGGACGATGGGAAGAAAGAAAGAAAGAAGGGGATATATCTTTCACCTGCGGAAACGGAACGACTCCACCTAGGGTGGGGGAATTAACAGGAACAAGCAGGAACAAGGCCGGGCCCGCCACTTGCAACGTTCGGGGTCCCTGACAAAATGAGCGGTTTCTGTGTCGGTCATTGGCCAGTGTCGTATCAGGGGTCTTGTGGCGGCAAGTGGCCCTGGTCGGTCAAGAGTGATGTTTGGGGGGACCGAGGAGGGCTGAATGGTCTCTTGAAACCAAAGATCACGGGCCCGATGGGAGGGCTGAACGACCTTCTCAGGTCACACTGAGCGTTCGCAGGGCGGTATCTCGAATGTCCGTTACGGATGCAAATGTCTCAGATGTCCGTTACGGATGCAAATGTCTCAAATGTCCGTTACGGATGCAAATGTCTCAAATGTCCGTTACGGATGCAAATGTCTCAAATGTCCGTTACGGATGCAAATGTCTCAAATGTCCGTTACGGATGCAAATGTCTCAAATGTCCGTTACGGATGCAAATGTCTCAAATGTCCGTTACGGATGCAAATGTCTCAAATGTCCGTTACGGATGCAAATGTCTCAAATGTCCGTTACGGATGCAAATGTCTCAATGTCCGTTACGGATGCAAATGTCTCAAATGTCCGTTACGGATGCAAATGTCTCAAATGTCCGTTACGGATGCAAATGTCTCAAATGTCCGTTACGGATGCAAATGTCTCAAATGTCCGTTACGGATGCAAATGTCTCAAATGTCCGTTACGGATGCAAATGTCTCAAATGTCCGTTACGGATGCAAATGTCTCAAATGACCGTTACGGATGCAAATGTCTCAATGTCCGTACGATGCAAATGTCTCAAATGTCCGTTACGGATGCAAATGTCCCAAATGTCCGTTACGGATGCAAATGTCTCAAATGTCCGTTACGGATGCAAATGTCTCAAATGTCCGTTACGGATGCAAATGTCTCGAATGCCCGTTACGGATGCAAATGTCTCGAATGCCCGTTACGGATGCAAATGTCTCAAATGTCCGTTACGGATGCAAATGTCTCGAATGCCCGTTACGGATGCAAATGTCTCGAATGCCCGTTACGGATGCAAATGTCTCGAATGCCTCGTGCCGATCGAACCGCTGACTGAGCCCCAAGCTCCTGAGACAGCATTCCTCTGCTTCTGCCAGAGATCACCAGCATCGAACAGTCGGCTCCGTGTCGGTCGGAGCTCTTGGGGCCCATTTCCCAAGCAGGGACAAAGCCCACGATCTAGATTGGTCGGGGTCACTGCAGCAATGCGGGCTCCTGCATGTTTCAGGTGCCTGTCGGTATAACCTACAGGGTATTCAGTGTCAACAACAGGTCTCGAGTCTGTCAAGAGAATATTCGCTCAACTGGGATAGAGGGGGACTCCGGATGGTTGGGGGCCCCTTGCGTTGACCGGGTCCTCTGATGATGAAATGGAACATAAGAGCTCATGATGATTGTTCGCACTGAGGCAATGGAAAGGTCTTGTGGCAGCTAGGGCCCAGTGCCGAACGGTGGGTTCTCCAACCCAGCTCCACAAGCCAAACTGAAACCTATGTGCCACTCATTTGACCACCTGAGGCGATCAGGGATCTGGCTGCGTCAATAAGGATTCCAGCATCGATCCCGGGCTAATTGCGTGGGTCAGGGGGCCTCCCGTGCCAGAGAGGGGCACCAATGGGGTATGACGTATCCTTACAATGGCCTCCGGATTGGTCATGGGATCCCACCCCGTGCTAGCATGGCTGCCGGAAGACACCCCGCGGTGGGCGGAATGGCCCACGGGGCCTTGACCGGGAACAATAATGTGAGCCCTAGTGTGCTCCCGAGGCAACCCCGTTTGCCGGATAAAGGTAAGGGGTCTCATTAGTGTAGTGGGCCAAAACGAGCTATCCACTCAAAAACGGACGAGACCATCCCATGTTTTGCCTGAGAGTATTTATTCTTTCACAGAACCGACTAGTGAAACAAACCATAAAAAGCCCGCGCCTGGGCCCGCACGCCCAGTCTCGGAAGCAGGGATGGCGATGGTTTGGGTTGCAGTTTCCGTAAAATCGAACGGCGTCGGTCACACCAGGCGATAGGTGACGTGGGCGCGAGAGCGACAGTCGTGGAATGATGCACGCCGTTAAAATATTTTGTACCGTTCAAAGCGTATCTTTTGTTTATAAGTTTGAGGTTGTCCTATTGATACAGCTACAGCAACACGGAAAATAGAGATCCTACCTTTAATTCTCCAGTTCTACCACCATATTCCAATACCACTTCGCGGTGCTGTACAGGCCAATCCTTTCAACTCATCAATATAACAATCGTACAGGCGAAATACACGCCTGGGTACCTTCTGAATATACAGTTTGATGACCTTCAGTATTCAAAAGTACGTCTTTCAGATGCATCATAATTTTCGCCTACGCACAACCCACGGTTTAATATTAGCCACAGGACCAATGCATCGCGGCCCATGGAGACTGCAGCACTTGGCATGGAGGCTTTCTTGTTAAGGTTATGATTATTATTAAGCGGATGCTCGAAGCTAAATTACATTATTTCTAACACTTACCACTTCTGACTGACTGATCTGCTGACAAACATTTCCAGACAAACCTGGCTTGGCCATGCGTCGATAAATTGTTGATCCGTTTTTATCTACATTCTGAATTCTACCGGTTTAGACAGTCCCTTGCACCATTGTAAGCTAAAGAACGTCACCTATTTATTTCATGTACTCTTGATATCCCGATTTCCTTCTTCAGATCTGTGTTGCTTCAGCTGATTGACTACAAATTTCAGGCGAAATACGATTCGCGATGGCTTCTGATATTTATTGGGGTTAACAATGGCAGGTAAAAAAGGCTAAAATATGGGGCTGAGCAGTGGCAGCTGAGACGAAGGATGAGTAGGGCGAGAAGAGAGGGAAAAGAGGAGTGGGAGGGAGAGGAGGAGGGGGGGGGGAGGGAGCGATGGGAACGGAAATAGGAGAGGGAGGCCAGTGATGCGGCCGCCGGACCGGGCCGCCATGTCCCCCACACCTAACCGGTGGACGCCAGGTTAGTACGGCACCGAAACACGCGCGCAAGTTTAGCCAGAACGACCAGCACAGACCGTACCCAGCCCACAGATTTCGGTAGTTTCGACCAAGGCCCTTCCGACCAGAGAACACCACTTGAGGACTATAGGATGAAGGAAAATGACAGACGGAGGGCAGACTTCCATGTGCCTGGGGCGCCACGGACACTACCCGGACAGACCGAGTGTCGCGGGCACGTAGGACGATGTTCGCACGTAAAAGACAACATGTATAATATATATACATATATATATATATATATATATATATATATATATATATATGCATATATATCGATTGGCGTTTAGTCTCTTAGATTCTAGTCTTTCCGAACTGACGTGAACATGTCAGAGCTAACTAATAAGATGAGTTTACTTTTTTGGTTTGTTGGAGGCGTTTCGGCCTGTTCAGGCCATTTCACACCTGGAAGACATTATTTCAAGCTGGTATAATTATGTACGTGAAAAGAACAAAGTTTATTGACGTTTACATCGCTTGCAGCGAACCGGTAAGTCTGAGAAAGTCAAAGACAATGCTCAACAATTGGGGATGGTCATCGCCAAGGGCATTTTTTTACAAAGAGAATTCGATATTGTGCTTACGACCAAAGGTCTGCATATGTTTGCATTGCTGTTGATATTTAGTACACTCAATAATATTATATTTAACCGTAAGTGGGTGATCGCACGGCTGACAATGAGGACGAGGGTGATTTAAGTATATGTAACTATTGTGAGTGTAGTGTGTCCAGTTCGTAGGCGGGCCGACACCTTCTCCTCCAGACGGTCTTTGCGATGTGCTGATGGCCAAGGGGTAATGTCTGGTTTCATGTCATGAAGTTGTTTTCTGGTGGTATCGGTCCATCGCCGTAGCCAAAAATGTTTTGTCAGTGTGCGAATCGAATGCTTTGTAGATGCATGATCAACGCGGATCTCCATGATGTGTGGGGCTGTCAAAGTTTCCTTGGCTAGCTGGTCAGCCCGTTCATTGCCCATGGTGCCTCTTTGTCCTGGAATCCACAGAAATTTAATTTTCATGCCCTGTGTGTGTATTACATGATAGAAATTGACGATCTTAACAAGGAGGTGGTGAGTGAAGTCTGGTTCAATAAGAGACTGTACAGCTGTCTTCGAATCCGAACAAATCACTATTGTCTTCGTTGTATGGGAGTGTTGCTGTATGTGCTGCAACGCAAGAAGAAGGGCAAATAATTCAGCCAAATATACTGAGGTGCCATCCGGCAACCGACAATTTTTATGGTAATGTTCGGTGGAAATTACTGCACATCCGGTGTGGTTATTAGCCTTGGAGCCATCGGTGCAAACAAAACTGTTATTTCGATTGCTGGAAATTAGACGATTAAATGTTTGTTGAATATAACTTGCTGTAAAAAAGTTTGCGATCATCAAAAAGAAACAAAACTTTCCGAGGGGTTAACTGCCATGGTGGTACTATTAAAGCAGGTGGCACGGAAGAAGGCCGCAAAGTTAACTGCAGAGTGATACAGTAGGCAATGGTTCGAGATGCTAT